TTAACCTTTCCTGGTAAGTTTTATCCTGCAATACATGAACCTGTTTAGTGGCCCTTCTCTGAACCCTCTCTAAGGTATCAATATCCTTCTGAAGATACAGTCTCCAGTACCGCGTACAATACTCCAAGTGAGGTCTCACCAGTGTTCTGTACAATTGCATGAGCACTTCTCTCTTTCTACTGCTAATACCACTACCTATACAACCAAGCATTCTGCTAGCCTTTCCTGCTGCTCTATTACATTGTCTGCCTACCTTTAAGTCATCAGAAATAATAACCCCTAAATCTCTTTCCTCAGATGTTGAGGTTAGGACTCTATCAAATATACTGTACTCTGCCCTTGGATTTTTACATCCAAGATGCATTATCTTGCATTTATTAAATGTCAGCTGCTACAATTCTGACCATTTTTTCTAGTTTACCTAAATCATTTGCCATTTGGCTTATCCCTCCTGGAACATCAACCCTGTCATATATCTTAGTATTATCAGCAAAAAGATATACCTTACCATCAAGACCTTCTGCAATATCACTAATAAAAATATTAGAGAGAATGGATCCAAGTACAGATATCTGAGGTAGCCACTTGTGACAAGACCATGCTTTGATTATACTTCATTTACTCCAACCCTCTGGTGCCTGTCACTTATCCACTGCCTTACCCATTCAACAATATTGGAATCCAAACTTAAAGATTGCAGTTTATTGATAAGCCTTCTATGTGCAACAGTGTCAAAAGCCTTATTGAAATCTAGGTAAGCAATGTCTACTGCAGCACCCTGTAGGGATATTTATGGGATGATAATTTTAAGCAGTCGAGAATTGCCCACTATTTCAATTCTCTTAGATCTTAGAGATCGTTTATCATGTAAGTGAAAAGTATTCCATCAATAATTCACAATTTGTTATAAAAATAGATTTATTTTTATTGTAACAAATTCATTAACAATATTATTAGGCAACATGCATGATAACAATCAGTGAATATTTAGTATAACATAGTATATAATATAATGTAATGGGTATACACGTTTCAATGGCTAAACAGCACCAGCTGTCACTTACACGATTTATGAGGGTATCCTTACAGACAAAAAGTGAAGCTTTTCACAGCGAAGAGCCATAAAACCTTGGCTAACAGTCAACTCAACTGAATAACCCTTTCAATGCTGGCTAGATCCTCCTAGGCATATAGTATCCTATTCTCCTATGATTTTCAATTAAAATAACATTTGAACCAACTCATTAATCATTTCCTGGAACCATCCAATAAGAATAATCTACCAGATTTTTACAAAAGCAGAATTTTAATTTGTCTAAAAAGATATTTTATCTTAATTTAGAGCAAATCAATATACCTGGATAAAAACAGCGGTATGCTAACACGTGATACTATCACATTAATATATAATTATTCTTAATTCCACCTGCAGAATGGAATGTTATAACTATATATTCTTAGTTAACTAAGATTTCTAAATATGGAAATCTGACCGTGATTTATCCAGTCATATATCATGCTATTAGTAAATTTTAATTAATTTAAATTAATTAAATAAACCCAGCATAATTTCCAGTTATGTAGATATTCTCATCAGATGAGTAGGTAGTCCCAGAGACTTGATTGGTTGTATGTAGGTGCTTGAGTGATAGGTGTTGGTTAGAAAGTCAGATTAAGATTCTAAGAGTTAAGAGTTTTAAGAGTAGAGTGTTAGTCCCAGATGTTGTCCTGGATTTCTCTGCATGTCCGACTTGGATGCCCAAACTTCAATTCATCTCTCTGTCTCCAACTCCAACTCCAAATTCCTCTCTCTCTGTCTCTCTCTCTCTTCCCTTTGTCTTTACTTTTAAAGGGCCAGACTCTCTGTATGTCATTAGTTGATAACCCAATAAGCAGCCGTAGGTGTGTCCAATCTAAGGATCGCAATTTAGGTATTTGATCCATAGATGGCAGTCTCGTCTAACGAAACCTTCCTATCCAAGAAAGAGTTTTTTCCTGATGATGATTTTGATGTCATTTGGCTTATCTAAAATGACTACCATAACTTAGATTTGCTGTCAGTTCAAAGCGTTTGTGCCAGTCTTTGTGGCAACTACTTTGGTCGTAATTTGTAAAATTGACAGTTCTAAACTCAATTTCACCCCTTTCTTACAATGGTACCTTATAAAACTTAGAAAGTAAAATAAATTACTTAGTCTTCTCTGTCACTAGGGTCTGTGTTTAGATAATGCATCTATTCCATTAACATTTTAGACAGAGCGTTCCATCCCCCTTGCTTCATTGCTTATCTTGGTTTGTTTATGTAATACATTCTTCAGCCCAAGCAAGTGGCTAGTTACAGAAGTAAGAAGAAATCAAGGAAATTATGTGTTTTTGTTATCCTGAAGATAGCAAAATTGAGTCCACTTTGTTTTGAATGGCTGTGGCAATATACACTTTTAATTTCTTTTTAGCACAAAATGTCTGTTGATATAAATATTCTGACAACCCTGATCTATTATTTTAGTTACCCAATCAAAAAAATCAATAAGATTAGTTTGGCATGATCTCCCTGAAGTAAACCCATGTTGTCTCTGATCTTGAAATCCATATGATTTTAGATGTTCAACAATCCTATCCTTTAACATGGTTTCCATCACTTTCCCCACTACTGAAGTAAGGCTTACTGGTCCATAGTTGCCTGGCTCCTTCCTACTACCTTTCTTGTGAATGGGCACAACATTCGCTAACTTCCAATCTTCTGGGACTACTCCTGTTAACCATGATTAGCTAAATAAATCTGTTAATGGTTTTGCTAGTATACCACTAAGCTCTTTTAATAACTTTGGGTGTATTCCATCAGGTCCCCTTGACCTATTTGTCTTTACTTTTGACAGTTGAAATAGAACCTCTTCCTCTGTAAATTCACATGTAACAAATTACTCTTTTTCCTAACTGAGGCCCTTTCCCTCATTTTCACCTGTAAATACTGAACAGAAATATTCATTGTGTCAGTCAGCTAGATCTTTATCCTCTTCTACATACCTTCCTTCTTTTGTTTTTAATCTAACTAATCCTTGTTTTACTTTACTTTTCTCATTTATGTATCTAAAACATGTTTTGTCCCCCTTTTTTTTACTGACTGTGCTATTTTCTCTTCTGTGTGTGATTTGGAAGCTCTTATAACTTGCTTAGCCTCTTTCTGTCTAATCTTATAGATCTGTCTATCTTCCTCGCTCTGTTTTTTTGGCCACATCTGCGGAGTACCACAGTGGTTTCTTAAATGTTTTGCATTTACTGACAAGCCTAATTAAATTTTCTATTTCTTTCAGCAGTGCAACTTTTAAATAATCCCATTTCTCTTGGACTCCATTTAAACTGCTTTAGTCTGATAATGACTCCTTTACACATGTTCTAATTTTAGAAAAATCTGTTTTTCTACAGTCTAAAACTTCTGTTTTTGTGTAGTGTGACTCAGTCACTGTTCCTCTAATTAAACCACACTGACTGATGATTACTGGATCCTAAACTTTCGCCTACAGTAATATCTGATACCAAATCTCCATTTGTTAACACTAAATCTAGTATGGCCTCTTTACGAATTGGCTCCTCAATTACTTGTTTTAGAGACAAGTCCAAGTAGGGAGTTTAGAATATGTGTTCTCCTGGCACAAGCAGCTATTTTGGTTTTCCAGTTTACATCAGGAAGATTAAAGTCACCCATGATGATAACCACCTTCATTGTCATTTTAGATATTTCCTCAGCTAGTAGATTATCTAACTCAGGGCCGTCTTTAATATGGATTGGACCCTGGGCAAACATTTGCTTGGGCCCCCTGAACCCGGTCGTCCCCTCCCTGGCATGCAATCATGCCCCCCACCCCAACGCAGAGGCGGACGTAAAGTAGAGAGGGCTCTGGTGCATGAATTATTTTGGGCAAGAGGGGGCAAAAGGTAGATCCCCATCTGTCATGCAACTCCAACAATGCTTTGACAGCTGGGGCGCTACCATTTTCCTATGCATGCAGGGTTATATTTAGCACTGAGCAGTATTTGTGTGTTTGAGTGTAAGCATGTTTTTGTATGGAGTATGTTTGTGTGAATGTAGGGGTGTGTTTGTATGTGGAGATGGCATTTAAATGCAAGTATGCATTTATGTGTAGTGTTGGTTTATGAATACACTGGTGTGTTTATATATAATTTAGTTGTTTAAAAAAAAAAAAGACACACAGATGCACACACGCACACACACGCAGATACACTGACAACATACAGATACACAGACACACACACACACACAATGACAACATACAGACAAATGCAGATACAAACACTGACACACATGCAGATACACACATTGGCTACATACAGATACATGCACAGGTATACATACTGGCACACACACACAGATACATACATACTGACAACATACAGATACACACTGACACACACACACACACACAGACACTGTGACAGACATACTGACACTGTGACAGACATACATACTGACACATACACAGACATACTGATTGGCACACCGACATACATACAGACACACAAACTGACACACACAGACATACTGACATACACACAGACATACATACTGACACACACACAGACATACAAACTGACACACACACACACAGACATACAAACTGACACACACACAGACATACAAACTGACACACACACAGACATACAAACTGACACACAGGCATACATACTGACACACACACAGACATACAAACTGACACACAGACATACATACTGACACACACACAGACATACAAACTGACACACAGACATACAAACTGGCACACACACAGACATACTGACACACACACAGACATACAAACTGACACACAGACATACATACTGACACACACACAGACATACATACTGACACACAGACATACATACTGACACACAGACATACATACTGACACACACACAGACATATAAACTGACACACAGACATACAAACTGACACACACACAGATATACAAACTGACACACAGACATACATACTGACACACACACAGACATACAAACTGACACACAGACATACATACTGACACACACACATACATACAAACTGACACACAGACATACATACTGACACACACACAGACATACATACTGACACACAGACATATACTGACTGACACATACATACTGACACACAGACACTCTTTAGTTTCCTACCTTTGAAAGAGGTTTCCTTCCCTGGGGTCCAGTGTGCTGGCTGGGGTAGTTGGGAGTTGGGGTTCTGGCTGTTCTTGCTCCCCCTCCTCACTGGATCCTGGCTCAGCAGCCTCCCGCGCGGCCCGATGTCTTTGAGGTGGGAGGAAGTGATTTGCGGACGTCACTTCCTCCCATGCAGCCGTTAAGCAAGGACCCGGTCGCGCTGTTAAAGGGCCACAGCGCCGACCGGACCCCTGCTGGAACATGCTCACTGGGTGGCCCTAAAGGTATGGGCCACCCGAGGGGGGCCCTTAGTGTGCGGGCCCCGGTGCAGCCGCAATACTAGCACCGCGGGCCCATTAGGTAGGGAAATATTTTAAAAAAAAATTTTTATTGCAGGCGACGGGGCCTGCTTTGGGCCCCCCATGAGTAACTGGGCCCAGGGCAGCTGCCCCGTTTGCCCCTCCTTAAAGACAGCCCTGATCTAACTCTTCTATTTGTCCTGGGGGCCTATAAATCACACCTACACGAGTTACTGTGTGATTACCAAATTCTAACTTAACCGAAAAGGAAAGGCAGAAAAGCAGAAGAAAGATGAGAGATCTCTTCCCTGATTGTAGAGATCTTGTCAGTGAAGTGAGTTGCAAAGTTTAAGGCGGTACAAGTTAGTAGGTGGAGGAGGAACAATAGGGAGAAGAAGAGAGTTAAATGTGTGAAATAGTCGTTTGGGTTCAAGGGAGAGTGTGGTTATGAGGGTATTGAAGTCATTTACTTTTGCAGAGGAAAGAGCCAAGCTGTATGAGCGCAGCATAAATTTATTGTGGAGAAAGTCAGACATGACAGTGAGACTTTCTCCAACAGCATTCAGCAGTTCTGGAGCATTTTTGGAGATATTGAGTCAGCTTGGTGTGCCAAGGTTGTTATTGGGGGAGCTTGCTGTGTTTAAATGTAGGAGGTTCCATGATGTCTAGTTGAGAGGAGAGAGTGGAATTGGAGAAGGAGGTTACAGAGCTAGGACAGGTGAGGTTTGAGATAGGTAAAAGGAGAGTTTGGAGATTAGTGGAGAAATGCTCTAGGTCAAGACATTGGAGGTTTCTGTGAGATTGATGTTCAGACGGTGGTGTCAATTGGGTCTTAGGTATGCTGATGTCAAAAGTCAGCAGATGGTGGTCAGATAGAGGAAAAGGAATATTGGAGAGATTAGAGGTGGTACAGAGATTGGTGAAGGTGAGATCAAGAGTGTTTCCCACTGTACGGGTTGCTAAATTGGACCATTGTGTAAGGCCAAAAGAGGAGGTTAAAGAGAGCAGACAGGAGGCATCAGTGCAGTTGGGGTTGTTGATTTGGATATTGAAATCCCCAAGTATAAGGGAAGAAGTGCTAGATGAGATGAAGTTGGGAAGCCAGAAAGAAAAGTGCTCAATGAATAGCCTAGGATGACCAGGAGGGCGGTAGATGATAGCAATTCTTAAAGGAGTGCGTTTAAATAGGCAGACAGTGTGAACTTCAAAAGAAGAAAAGGTTAGGGCAGGGGGAGTTATGATTGGTTGAAAGGTACATTAAGGGGAGAGAAGGATGCCTACACCACCTCCTTTACAGTTGAGTCTGGAAGTGTGAGAGAATTGTAGCCCATCAAAACATAAAGAGGCAGGAGTAGCACTATCAGAGGGGGACAGCCAGGTCTCTGTAATTGCAAGTAGTGTGAGTGAGTTTGAGGTGAAAAAGTCATGGATGGCTGTTTATTTTAAATTACTGTAGATGGAGCAGACGTTCCAAAGTGCACACTGAATGTTGGTAAGTGAGATTAAAGGGCAGGGTATTGTGATGAGGTTTGTGGGGTTTCTGGTTTTCTTAGTGTGTGTAGAGAAGGTGGATGGCCCTGGATTGAGAGAGACATCACCAGCTGCTTGAAGCAGGAGGAGAGAAAGTGACAGGAGGTGTGAATGGGTTTTGATATGCATGGGGTCTAGGATGAGATCGATTGTGGGTAGGAGTGGGAGAATAGAAAAATGAGTGCAAGGCATGAGAGAAGGGGGGAGTGTAGCAGAGAGGGGCCTATGTAAATGTGGATGGAGGGATGAGTGAAGTGGGTGTAAGGAGAAATTATTATACTGAGGGAGAAGGAGGATATAAAAAGGAGGAGAAGACAGATCATTGCTAAACTGGGAAAAAGTAAATTGGAAATAATTGGAATATCAAGAGCAGGTGAAGGTAGCGTAAATATTAAGTTTAATGGGATAAGAAAGTGCAGGAGTGTACTAATAAGAGACAGTGAATATACTTGTTTTTGGGTATAACATTGGCTTAAGCATAGAGTACAATGAGTTGTCATTAATGGTAAATTTCAAGCTGGACAAAAGTGGTAAGTGGTGTCCCTCAGGGTTCTGTTTTGGGACAGCTTCTATTTAACATATTTATAAAAGATCTTGAAATAGGCATTGAAAGCCATGTTTTAGTGTTTGCAGGTGACACAAAACTTTGTAAAGTAATAAAATATGAGCAGGATATTGCTTTGCTGCAGAGGGATTTAGATAGATTGGGGGACTGGGCACTAAAATGGCAGATTAAATTTAATGTAATGAAATGCAAAGTTATGCACTTCGGGGTGAAGAATGCACAAGCAACTTACACCCTAAATGGGAGTAAATTAGAGGTAACCACATACAAGAAGGATTTGGGAATTGTTATAGACAACAAATTAGGCAGAAATATGCAATGTCAATCTGCATTTGCTAAGGCCAGTAAAGTTTCGTCATGTATAAATAGGGGCATAAATTCCCAGGATGAAAATATAATTATTCTCTATAAATTGCTGGTAAGACCACACATTGAATATGCTGTGCAATTTTAGGCACCTGTTCTAAAGAAGAATATCATGGCGCTAGAAAAAGTGCAGAGACGAGCTACAAATTTATAAAAAGGAATCGACCATTTTAGTTACAAAGAAAGGTTAAAAAATGTAAATCTCTTTAGTTTGGAAAAACGGCGCCTCAGAGGAGATGTGATAACATAATACAAATATATTTGGGACCAGTACAAACCATTATCTTGAAATCTATTTGTAAACAGAACTATACTTAGGACACAAGGTCACACATTTAGGCTGGAGGAAAGGAGATTTAATCTGAGGCAAAGAAAAGGTTTTTTTACAGTAAGAACTATAGGGATACGAAATTCTGTGCCTGAAGAGGTGGTTCATACAGATGTTTAAACAGCAATTGGATAAATACTTCCAAAAACATAACATACAGGGATAGAATTTCTAAACAGTGTAGTAATACCTACTTGATCCAAGGAGATATCTGACTGCCATTTTGGGGATTTTTTTCCTAGTTTGTTGCAAAATTGGAAGCGCTTTAGAGTGGGTTTTTTGCCTTCTTTTGGGTCAACAGCAAATACATATGTGAGGAAGGCTGAACTTGATGGATGCAAGTCTCCTTTTAGCTATGTAACTATGTAACTATGTAACTATGTAATCTTATCTCTGGATAGATAGAATTTTTACTAAATTACCTGCTGTTTGATGTAAAACAAGGACCCTTTCGTTTAAAACAAGCTCAAACAAATCCTATACAGGAAGTATAAGTATATTAAAAACACGCTCATGTTTTGTAAATCAGAGATGTACATGTAAAAACATTTCGTTATGGTTGGTTTCGGGTCGGTCAATAAATTTAAATTTCCAGTTTGGCTAAAGTTGGTTTTCATATCAATTCAGTCCAAACTGAAAATAGAAAATCTTTAATTAAAGGGACACTATAGTTACTCAGACCACTTCATCTTAAAGATGCTTTATAAGTAGGATTACATTGGACCATCGTGGGGAGGCCCATTTAATCCCTATGGGGAATGAATGAATGAATTCAAAACTCTAAATTTGGAAAGTTAAGAAGTTGTTTGTATAAAACCTAATTTGAAAATGATACATAGGTAATATTTAAAATGGAAAATTAATTGCTACAGTTACCCCATTGAAAATAAGTTATTTTAAGTATTTTAAGTTCATTTTATATATATATACATATATATATATATATTTATATGTATTATGCAGTTCAGTCATTCTTTAGTTTGTCAACTAGTATTTGTTTTCAGACAAAATAATCGAAATCAAAATGTTTGTAAAATATTTGATTCTTTCGATAAACACACACACTGGATGGGTAAAATGCCAACTGAATGCCGACCTCAATGGCAATCGCAATGTCAATTCTCATATTTACTAAAGACAAATAATCAAAAATGTGCAGCAATTTCTCACTCAGATGCATTTGGGGTCTAGAATAAAATCCGTGTTTTTCACATTCAGAAGATTCACAAAGCATCTGGCAGGATTCACATTTGCAAATTAGCATTCACTCCTTTCATGCAAGTGAATGATAATTTTAAATGTTAATAATTAAAGACCCTTGGTGGCACATGGGTTAATTATATGGTGGCCGCTAGCGCCACATTGCAATAGGGAAATCATTTTAAAATAATTTTTTTTAAAAGCCTACGGGAAGTTTTAAACATCCCATGCAGCCGGTATGGGAGTATTTACTAACATTTTAAAACTAGCGAC